CTTCTCCTAAACGATACTCGACACCAAGTGTCCGGAAGCCAAGCTCCAGAAGTACAACACGTGGAAGCTGGATATCCAGCTCAGGATGCATTGGAGTCACGCTTCGCTGAGTATCACAACACACATGGAGGAACAGCGGCGACAACACTTGGATGAGATGACCGCCTTGGAGCAGGAGTTCCAAACGTTACGTCTGGAACGCGACCAGGAGCGCGAGGCCTGCAGTTGTTCCTAGTCGGGCGTCTGAAGAAGCGAGCGGAATCTCAAGGAGTGAGTACAACGGTCTGAACCGGTCTCCGAAGTAACAACTCCGGTGTATGTGAATTCTGATTCGACAACTGGCAAGCCAGTCCCAAGTGGCGTAACCATGGGTGTTCCACCTGTTACGAAAAACAGATGGTACCGTCAGAAGTCAAAACATTCTACGCCACTCAGACACAAACTGCTCTAAGAGATCTCAATGAGACCAAGGAAACTGTTGCGCGCGCTGTCGCCGCTAAGGCAGCAACAATGACAACGGTGAAGACGGAGGTGAGGGCCGACGTCCAAAAGGCACTTCCGAAGAGTAAGCCTCTCAAGAGGAAATCCAAGAAAAGGCGAGTCCATTCTCAGGCCGCTACCACTATCAGACGTGTCTCCATTTACCTCAAGCCCATCCAAGACATTGACAAGATCATTGAACCAATCACGGGCAAGGCCAGAGGACGGTTCTATGGCACCTTAGTCCAGAAGTACCCGCAACAAACATAAGGAATCCCTGGTTACAAGCCTTCCCGTCACATCATCGGCGCTTTGTATGCGCGTTTCGACATGTTTAACTATCTTGGATTTGCTTTTGACGACTCCTTGGGAGGCCATGTGGGTGAATCGCATCAAATTTCTGGTATTCTTCCCGAGGGAAATGTATCGAAGATGAATTCTACGGGGCATTTCCGAGAATCTTGAACTTTACGTACAAGTGGCGCCAAGCATTTTGGGAACGTGGCCACCGGATCACGATCAGTGCTGATACGGATGTACGTGGCGATCCTCGTTATGCGCAATTGAGCAAGACTCACCACTTCCTTATTGCCAGCATGGACAACGATCGCAAAGCTCGGGCTAGTACTTTCATGAAAGCCAAGGACGGACTCATGGTGTCCCTTGCTACTATCCAAGGTTATTATGAGATCGTGTGGTTCGAGGCAGGACTGTGGGTGGTATCGCTCAACCCCTGCGATTGGATTCTTCGCTGCCCAGAAGAGAGAATTTCCCTAGAGCAGCAGCTGAAAGACATTGATCATCAAGGACCTACTCGAACTCAGGGGGCTACACGCTCTTCTGAGAAGTGTTATGTGGAGATCGCGCCCAAGAAGATCCAGAACCATCGCATCAAGCACCATGATTTCCTTCTTCCATTACCAACCATTGGCAGCCTTTGACTGCATCCCAGGGTTGTTTAAGTGTTTTGCATAACTTCAATAATTAAATTCTCGGAGTTCTTCTCGTTTCCACAAGTTTACTTGTGTTTCTTCCCACCAGTTGGCTTGTGTTAACACTTAATGCTTCTGCTCACGATCTCAGATAGGCCACAGACAGTCTTTCCACGGGTCGAAACCCTTTATCACCAATTCCCACATATTTGCATCACATACTTTTCCAATATCTACTTTAAACAGATAAAGAATACATATACACAGCCACCTTTTACCACATTCACATGCATGGTTCGTTCTGTCTAGGTCATTCCTGTTAACTAAAGCTCCACAGGGGTCCTCAGACTGCATCGCACGAAACCGTGCTTGCGCCCTGACGCTCTTGTTGAACTCGTAAAGTAACGCTCCACAATGCAACTGGGAAACTGGTAGCCACTGCAATTCAGTGTATCCTTTCCACTTCACCAAGTATTCTCGGACCCTCCGAGAGGTGCGAGTTCTCTTAATCCATCGTACATCTCGAATCTCTTCCACCTCGTAAACGTTCTGGGCTTCATCGGGTTCATATACCTTGTATGCGGTACCTTCAATTTTGAGCTTACAACGAAAATCACCTGAGACCTCAAGGATTTTGAAAGGGCCGTGCCAGAGATGAGCAAACTTCTTGCTCAGTCCAGGTTGTACTCGAGCCAGGTAGAGCCATACCGAGTCCCTTACTCGAAAACTTTGTTTAAGTCTATCTGACAATTATTTCCGCATCTGAGTCTGAGCTTTAGATCATTTCGACTTGGCTTCTGCTTGTAAATCTTTAACACAAGCTTGAGCGTACGCATACTGACGTTGAGTATTTCTTCGCCACTCGTACACCGTCTTCTGGTCAAACCCTGTGGTTGTTTTCCCCAGTATCGCACTCACAGTATTCGGGGGGGGGGGTTCAAGCCGTGCACTAAGTAAAACAGAGTGTATAGGGCGGGTAGCATCGAAAGTTGTGTTTAAAACCCACATCAACTTCTCAACCTGATCTTCCCAGTCACTCTGATCTGGTTCTTCCACATAAGCTTGGATCGCCCTGGTTACTGACTGCACGGATCGTTTCTGTTGACCATTAGCCTATGGTCTGTAAGCTAAGGTTGCCCGCTGTTTACTTCGCAGTATCTCCGGAACCGTATGAAGACTTCGCTCATGAATCTGGAATCCCTGTCATGTCTGACCCGATTACTAGCACCGAAACGTTGAAATACTCGCTCCATGTACGCTTCTGTAACTTCTTGCGCTATAGTATCACTCACTGGTTTACAAATGATAAACCCTTAGAATACACACTGAAACAACAGCAGGAATGCGTTACCTCGATCTGATTTCGGAAGATGCGTCATGAACTCCATAGATAACACCTCGAATGGTTTAGTAGCGAGAATATTGCCGAGCGATGGTTCAGGATTCGGTGGTGCATTTTTGGTGACACAGTCTTCACATTCCTTCACGAAACGCTCGGCATTCCAGTCCAATAGTATTCTCGGCCTAAATGCGGTTGGGTTCTATGAATTCCTTGATGATCTCCTTGAAAGTCTTCATGACATAGATGCAATAAATCTTTCTGGAGTGTCCTAGGGACCACGAGTCTTAGATTTCCTTCAGCGTCCCTAGGCGAAGTTGGCGCCGACAGATTCCGGTAGTATAATACATTTCGGGAGTCTAGGGCAAACCGGTCAGCGATTTTGGTAGCTTCCTCCGCTTTGACAGCTGAGAGTTTTCCCAAGTCTCCACGCAAGTAAGCGGTAATGCGAGGAACACAGGATTCAGTCTGCTGATGGATATAAATACGCCACCAGCGTTCAACTATTGCTGTCGCGGGTGTCGTCCCTTCAGGTAAATATTATCTGAGTCCCATAGTATTATCTGTTATCCCAGCACCAGGTTGTTCCATCAACGTCTCAGACGTTCCTGGATCCGCCGGTGGTAAGATTCTGGCTCTACTTCTTGTTAAACTGACAAATATTCGAGAAAAGGGTAACGGTGAACTAGCTGCGACTTCTACTGACACGAATTCGGGCATTGCCAAACAGAAGTTTTGACGCTCCGTCCCTCTTTGTATTTCCAGGGGCGCCAATGCTTCTGATTTCGTGACTGGTTTCCCAGATTTTGTGCCTTCCAAAGTATCTTGCTTCACCAGTTTCTCGGGTATTCTATTCATCTGTTTCATCTGATCTATCTCAATCGCATCCACAATTTCCACGGAGTTCCTGGACAAGGCCGTTTTGTAAGTGTGGCGGTGCGGATTGCACTTTGGTAGATGGATGAATGAGGGAGTAAAATAGCGTGCTGATCGGTCAAGAACGATAAGTTCAAAGCTAGCGTCTGCGTGAGACATGGGGAAAGACTGTTCTGGATGGAAATGGAGCTAGCAGGTGTGTGTTCAAGGAAGGGGTCATAGTTTCAGAAGTGGTCATCCAGGATAAACGTGCATCCAGGATGAATGGCCATTCAGGATTAAGAACCATCCAGGATTGAAGTAAACCACTCGGTCTGAGTCGCCGATACCCTGACGACAGGTGAAACAGGAAGGTAGAGAAGCGCCCCGAAGAACGTATCTCGGGTAGCCACTTGTCCTGACTTGAGCCGCCCTGGTGTTACAGCTACCAAAATCAACTGTGAGCATGTCAACGAGCGTTCCAGCCAGCAGTGTTACCAAGTGACGTATGACGACTGGCAACCAGGATTGACTCCAATGACGAATGACATCCAGGATCGATGAGAGTTCACCTTGAATGACCAAGTGCAGACATGATTGAGCATCGTGTGTGGAGTGCTTACAAGGCTCCAGATACGCTGGCCATCCAGGGTAAAGCCGCCCTGGATGTGGACATCCAGGATCGAGGTCCGTATAACCCAGTTCGTCACGACGTATCGACATCAACCAACACGCAAGATCTGTGGGATTCATCATTATGTGATGCGTCTACCCATGGGTTAACTTTCCCATACTGAAGCCAAGAGATCAGGATTTGCAAACACCGTCATCAATGATGCGTGTACAAGGAAGAAGAAGACCGTAAAAATATAGAAGATCATAAGACGTTAAGATTTAAATAGAGTTCAATTTGCGTGGGAGAGTTAAGTGAGGATAAGCTGCCATACTGAACGCGTTGAGGAGCCCGCGCTGAGGACCCCTGGATTTTGTATTGAGAATTACTAAAAAGTGAAAGGAAGTGTATTTGATTAATAAGAAGTCCCTGGAATTCAGGGTGGTGCGCGTGAGAAACGAGTGCATCCAGGATTGACCAGTATCCTGGGTGCGTCGCTCTAAGTGGGACTGGAGAGAAGACCCACCGTTCAAGGGTCCGAAAGAATAAGAACGGTTACATATTTGTGACGTATATTGAACTCTGCATATTTAGGTCAGCCTAGGTTGACAACTCCCTCGTGTCCTACTAACTTCTCCCCAGTTGTGATCAGTGCCCGATCCTGAATTGTCGGTAGCACCCCACATCCTGGAACACATTTAGCCTGGACAACTCACCGGTGAAATAACTGTTCCGGCGAATCAATCGAACCGACAGGGATACCACCTGGACACACGTCCATTCAGGGTGACTTGTCATCCTGAGTGTCCAAATTCAGGAGGTTCCTAAATCCTGGTTGACCTTCCGATTCTGGCTAGACTATACATCTCCTACACGAAATGTTTTCACCAACATCGTGTCATCAGTCACATAATCGGTAGTGGCATTATATTCTCGTTTCACATGCACTAGGTGCACAGACTTAAACTCTTTGCGCAGACTTTCGAATTGAGCAAGTAACAACTGCAAAACGGGATTCAGACACTGGATAAGTCCCTGGGCTTTTTGAATAGCTATCCGAGAATCACCTACGATAATCAACTTCCGGATTCCCCGATCCAATACCATCTTTAAACCCTTAATCATACCATGATACTCGACCTCATTCACCGAGATACCTTCAAAATGAAATCCTCGAGCTGCAACCACACCCCAGGTTGGTAACCTCCCGGGAATACACCCGGAACTTCGTTGTCGATCTGAAGTCCTAGCTGAACCATCAAAACGGAGGAGTCAACCTTCCTAGTCAGAATCTAACATCTCGATACTAAGAGGAGGAGCTCTAACCTCTCGGTCTTTCGTTGAAATAAGATTCTCAGCAATTTGATCGAGCTTGTCGCGCGGAGTAATTTCAGCCCCTACAATTGACGCTAATCCGTCTTCGTTATTTTGAATCTTGTGCACTTCAAGCCGCCAGGGTGCCAACCTAACTGCCCATTGTTCACAACGACTATCTAAGGACTTAGTCTTGAACAGCCATCCCAGAACTGAATAGCACGTATACACCTTTAAGAATGCGTTGTCCACTAGCATAGGGTAGAATACGATGAGAACTCTGAGTAATCCCACTTTTTCCTTCTCTGCCGGGTGATAACACAGGTTTTGATCGTGCAATACTCTGCTCGTGAACCGAACTGGGTATATCTTTCCGTCGTATTCTTGACCCAAGACAGCACTCACCGCCCAAGGATTTGCGTGTAGGATGATAATGAATGGTTTTCTCGGTCTGGGGTCATTTCCTGTCTCCAATTTCTCGGATCTCACTTCACCACAGATGCTTCAATAGCGGAGTAGAGACATTTTTTGTTTGAGAATTTCAAAGGTTCCTTTGCGGGTTCCAAGTCTCTACCTGCTCGGATCTGCTCATCTGTTAATTCATACAGAACAGCCGCAACTACTGCGAGGTCCTCTATGTACTTGTTGTAATAATTGAGGCTTCCCAGAAACGATCGCACACCCTTGAGAGTAGTCGGAAACTACAGATTCTTAACACCTTTTGCAATTTTAGGTTTGACTCTGATCCCCTCAGCTTCAATTTCATGTGATAGATACGAAATGGTTCTTTTACGAAACTCGCTCTTCGGAAGACTAACAGAAATTCCCCAATATCGCAATCGATAGAACAATCGATCTAGGTCGAAACACATTGAATCCCAGGTTTCTGCTCCATACGCAATATCATTTATATACGAATATTGTCTCAGAACATGCCTAAGCTCAGCAGGTGCAGGGATATTCCTCCGGAACACTGTCAAATCCTCAGACAAGGGATACAATTTTCGTCTTTCGACTTTATTCTCAGATTTGATTTCTAAAACTTCCATGGCTTCGGGATCCACCTTAGCGTCTTCTTCAGGCGGAAGACGCACAAAACCCAGAGGCAGTTATCCAATATTTGCGGATAAATCTACAGCGCATTCTTGTGTTCAAATGACAATCCTATTCCATTGAAAATGACCTCGGGGAACACCAAAGCCGATATATATTGCGCCATATGCGTCATAGGCACAGCCCAGAATCCGCTAGCCATATCCAGACTCAGAAACCACATTATATTCTCAAAACCAATCAATAAATCATCGATCAAAGGCAGATGATAGTGCATGAGCTTGATCAGCTGATTAACTAATCGATAGTCGATACAGAGTCGAATGTCCACTCCATTCTTTTTCATCACAATGACAATGGGAGAAGTCTATTCAGAGTCCGAGTATTCAACCAGCTTGGTCTCCAACAGCTTCTTCAACAGGTCATATACCTTCTGTAGATGATGGTGTGGCACTTGCCTAGACCTCTGAGCAATAGGCTTAGCTCCATTTACATCCAGATCACAGACAACACCTCTCACGAGTGTAGGCACTGCATTTCCGTCCCCTAGAAGAATCTTATGATGCTTTTCCAAAATAGCACGTACTTTAGCATCCATTTCTTGGGTAGTTTCTTCAGGTTCACCAAAATTAGCAGTGTCTAAATCCGCAACAGGGCTTAAATCATTCAATTCTGGGAGGGTAGCCAACTGATCTTTGAGGTCACTTAACAATTTTCCTTTCATGGATAAATACGGTGGCTTCTTCCTCAATATCAGCTACTTCCATTCTCAAACAACTCGCGAAGTTATCGAATAGACGAGAGACTGGCTCATTATCGTGGACTTGAGACTCCATCGAATTGGTCTCTAATTCGTCCCTTCGAAGGTCGGTACTATTCTCAGACCAATCCGAGTCAATTCCCAGCCTAGGGTCTGAGAATCCTACTTGCGGTACTTCCATCTCGGGTTGTGACGTTTTGGTGCTGAAACACCCCCCAGAAGGCGCGTCCATTTCAGACTTAGTTTGTACCGGAGCTTTCGATTCCGAGTCATGTTCACCTTCAGGCGAAAACGATGTTTTCCTTTTTATCAACATCTTCTAAGGCCAAGAATAAGTTGGTCGTTTCACGAAGGGCACAGCTTCAAACTTTTCCACAATTTCCCTTCCTCCTCGGCTTCTCGGAGCACCAGCGCAGGTTCAACTTCATATATACGTGTTCTCCACTCGTTGTATTTCCTGGAAGAGGGCCGTACAAAGCGTTCTCCACTAGGCAGGTACCCTTTCTCCATAACGTGCGCCACTACAGTATTCTGGTACACGGTAGCTATCGAATTAGAGACATTCACTACTTTGACCGCCTTGGGCCTCCGATTCACTCCATAGATAAAACGAGCGGCCCACGTTTCTTCGCGACCAGTCCAGAATTCTAAGAATTCGGGGTTTGCTCGGTCATGCTAAATTGGCACAACGAGATGTTCTCCAGGACGTAGCCCTGCTGTGTCAAACGCTAAGATCCATTCCCAGATGATCGAACCCAAACACTAAGCTCCATTCCCAGAGATTCGAACTCCGGTCCACCAACCAGCAACAACGATTCTTCATCCGGGAGTTTGACTACTCCTTCACGAACGCACAATCTCACTCCTGCAGATATCATAAAACCCATTCCGAGAAGACAATATACTCCAGCTCCAATATTCCCGACCCAGATATTAAGTACATACACCACTCGAGGTCCCAGAGTCAGATTAATCCGAGCTTTGGCAGAGATGTAAGTCGGTACATCACCATACCCCAGAATTTAAAGCTTATCCTTGTGATGAAGGCTCAGTTTTGACCTACGTGCAAGGTCGAAACTTATAACACTTGTGGTAGCTCCAGAATCCAGAAGTACTTGTACTCGTTGTGTTGAATATAACTCCATCTACAATTGACATTTTTCGTGAGTCCTCCACCAAAGCGTGTTCACTCCACAATCCAAAACTTTTCCCCGGGTTATAGCGTGAACTCCAAAAGTTTCTCAGAGTTCTCAGCTGATTTCAGGTGTTCTGCGTCAGATAAAACGCGTTCTTCATCAAGGGGGAACATGGAATTGAGGTTATTACTGCGCCTCCATGAAAGGGCGGGGCCCACATATGCAAATGCGCAGTATTCTGAGGACTTAGGCTCGGCGTGAGCCTAGTGATTTAACGGCTCCTCAACCCCGGGACATTCCAGCAAAAGGTGTTGTACTACTTCCAGGGACAGGTTCTCTAGAGATCCTCCGGCGTTGATAACGTCGCGAACTTCCTTCAAGGCCGACCACAGGTCACAGAATCCTCGGCGATGGTACTCGCCACATTTGGGACACGGTTGGCGTCGACAAAATTGTGTGGGATGGCCTTCTCCACGACATCGACCGCAAATCAGTTTACTTGAACACTTCTCAGTTGAGTGAGTATTGCTACCGCACACATCGCACCATTTGTCCGTACACAAATTGTTTTCTCGATATGGTTTTTGTCCATTCCCAGGTATTCAAGCTAGTCATCCCGCTAGTCGGAATATCGCTTCATCTGTCATATACTAGGAATTCACAGGAGCGGAATCTGTTCTAGGAAAAATACTGACTTGAACTGGTTCTGATAATTCCATAGTCGGAGCCCTGATATCCTCGTCAATTTTCATTTCAGTCTCGTATCCGGGATCATCTTTGGGCCGAGAATGTTATTCCGACTCCATCTCAGCTTCCGTACTGATAGTCAAGAAAGCTCTTCCTTCAGCCCGTCTCTGCGGACGCTTGAACCGTCCGAATTGTAGGTTCTGAACTTGACTCTTCTTTTGTTGCAACGTTTGGTTTTCCTCTCGGCGTAAAGCCTCAATTCGTTTCAAGGTTCTTTCTAACCCCACCATATTCTCGCACGCTTGTCCTTGGAAGGTTGACTTCAAACGGTTGTCACTAAGCGCACGAATGAACCGGCGAATATGTGCTTCGCGTTCAGAGACTGTCTTTTCGAAACGGATACCGGCACTCTAAGCAGCCTTTTTAAGTCGATACAGAAACATTCTGGGAGTCTCTTGAGCTCGCATTTCCATCCCGTAGTATTGTTCGGCTTTAAAACCACTGATCGACACTACTCCTTTTTGAAAACGTGCGCAAGAGCCTTTCAATTTGATCGAGTTTCGTTAGGTAACTAAGTACACCAATTGTTTGGCACACTGGACAGTCTCATGCGTAGCTGCAATACTCGAGTGTTATCATCCCAGGGTCCCATCATGGAATAATACATGAATCGATCTCACCAGTCCATTCGCTCTTCCAGAATAGCATATTCGTCAAATTGTTCTAGTGCATCATGCGGGATCAACGTTTGCACCGTAATCTGTATTCCAGAATTCGTAGTAGTACTTGTGCATTGGCCATTGACATATGCGCTCCAGAACTCGCCATTTAGTCAGTAGCTGATAGCCAAGACGATTCAGAGGAGCTAAACCCTGACAAGTCCGTCCCAGAATCAGCTCCAACTCTTGCTATATCGGAGTTCACTTGCATAGCACTAGCACCTTGATGCAATTCTGACCTCGCGGTTATGATTACATCCGAGGTACTACTCGATCTATGGTAAGATGTGATCGAATTGCTAGGTGTGGGCTGAGTTAGCAATAGTCGTTCCCGAGCCGGCTCACCTTCAACACTCGATACTGGGTATCTGGGCCTGATTCCACTCCACTGTAATCACATCATCACTTCGGGGCCTAGATACATCAGTGTATCTTCATCCATAATGGTGTCGCCATCACCATCAACTGTTATATCATTTTGGGCCGACCCACCTTGCGCTGAGTAGACTGGGTCCAAGGCCTGACGTACAAAGTACGCCGTACCATTCACGGCCGTATTCCAAGCCACCAATTCAAAACCAATGAAATGACCGAGTTTGCGGATCTTGTCCCTGATCGTGATGTCTGGAATCCCGGATAGGTTCGACCACCTATTCCAAGCAGGAACGATATTCACAAACTTGTAGCCAGCTTTCCATAGCATTGCCTGCAACAACGCTACACAGGCAACTGGGGGTAACAGATTCAATGATATTCTGATATCTTTGAGATCTGAGATCACAGGAATTCGGCGACGTTCAGCCTGAAATTCTGTCAGCCACCGTCCTGATGGTGCTCTCGTGATTGATAGCATGTACTTTGCTGTAGTACCAGCTACACGGATATACGTACCCATTATGTTGCGGGTTATATGCCAAATCCACAGGTCAAACGAGTTGCGAAGGCAATTTAGAGTTGCGTACTTTGCTGTAGTACCAGCTACACGGATATACGTACCCATTATGTTGCGGATTATATGCCAAATCCACAGGTCAAACGCGTTGCGAAGGCAATTTAGAGTTGCGTAGTTCCATAAGCCGGCATCTTAATCTCAATCAGACCTGGCAAGATCGCCAGGGCCCGTTCAGCTTCAGCATCTTTCGAGACTCCCTCTAGTCTCTGGATACGATATCGGTCTGGCCACGAGTGCTGAGACCACATACTATTCTCAGCGTACATTTCGTGAGCAATTCCGGGAGCAATTCCGGGAGCATAACTAAAACGCACTATGTCGCTCCTCGTTCCGACAGCGAATGAGTTTCCACTTCTCGACTTCCGAGAACACTAAGTACATTGTCTTCGACTTGGCTACAACGAACATTCGTAGCAGTTGGCTCCGAGTTAGTACTCGTCGTTCTAGAGGCAGAGTTTGCAGACAATTCGCGTTGCGTTCGAGCCAATTCTGAACTAAGAGTTGGCAGAGCTTGTCGAGACTCTCCTCCGTCAGCGGAGGCTGGCTTCGCATCATCTTTTTCTCCCACTTTTTCTTCATCTTTCTTCTTCTCAGGTGGTTCGGTCAGCATCTCGACGTCGACAGAGCAGGGTTGTGCCTCAGCTTCCACGTCCTCCACATTCTCTTCCTGGGCTTCGGTGATCTCCATCGCTTCTGCGACTTGGGAATCTTCCCCAGCTTTATTCTAGGGTCTTCCAGTCTC